TTATTAGTGATGTGTGTAATACTCCTTTGTTTTTGTACATTGCTATAGGAAAAAAGGAAAAAACTCGAAAAATACTTGGTTTATTTTTGTTCTGAACGTTTAATATCTGAACTTTTCTCATTGGAAGAAAAATATATAGACTAATTAATGTTTGTGATCTAATTCTCAAAAAATAAATTGTTGTTATTTTTCTCTTTTCATACCCACGATCTAAAAACAAAAATAAAAAATTCAATTATTTTTAAAATTGATTACACTTTTTTGTATTTATAAATAAAATAATAATAGTAAAACATACTATCACTAAAAATTAATTTTTGATATAAAAATTAGTTATTTCAAAAAGGAGCAAGTGGGCTATTGGTTCTCACCTCAGTTGCTTCTCACCAGATCCGTGTTCGAGCCCAGTCCCTCTCAAAGAGAGACTTATAATTTGTAATTGATATCAAAAAAATAAATTAGTTATATCTATAAAATTAAAAATTACTGCTACATCATGTTCAAACATTAATAGATAATACAGATGGTAAGGGTAAAATTTGAAAATTTTGTTTTGGTTTTGAGATTGTAACTTTGTAAGTATGAAAATAACAAATTTTTTTTTAGAATTAAATCACAAAATGTTACTTAGTATATGTATTTTTTTCAAACGAGAAAAATTAAAGTATTAAAAGTCCAAAATAATAAACCAAGTATTTTTAAGATTTTTTTCCATAGGAAAAATGCCTTGTACAAAATGATATTTTTCGATATAAAAGTGTTTAATTTCGAAAATGTCCCTAAATACTAAAATGTCTTCATTCATGGTTTCACTAATCTGTGCTGTGGGCTGGGTTGATGGGATCAAATATATAGAAGACTAGCAAGGGTCACTAGAGAAAAACACTATAGGTCACTTGAATAAAATTAAATGGTAAAAGGTAACAACATTTTCGAACTTGCCAGCAGGCCCAGCACCATCATGGTTGATCATTTTAATATATTACGACTTCGTTATATAGGTTACATAACGTCTCTGTTATAGACCTTGTTAGCCCAATTCAAGCAGCCAAGTAGTTTCTTTTTTTGTGTTGACAATTGCCAAGTAGCCAAGTAGTCAAGTAGTGTCCTTGTAGTGAGTGTGTTAGCCCAGTACAAGTAGCCAAGTCGAGACAATCCAAGAAGTGTCAAACTATTAAAGTTCTTTTTAAAGTCTTCACTTTGTGGCTTTCTTGTCTCTCAACCTTTATTATATATATCACTGGCTGATGCATGTTATGAAGACAATTTGAAAATGGTTTCAATGACTTCAAATGTTGCTCTTATTCTATTTTGGGTTCTTCTCTTCATTCTTCTAGTTCTAATCCAGGGACAAGGCGAGTCGTTCAGTTCCCCGGTTATGTCACGAATCGCCGCATTACCTTCGAATTCACGTAGAGGTCGAGGTCCTTAGCGAAGTCTGTTCGATAAACGAAGGAGAAGAGACAAGCGGTAACTTAAACCTAAAATAAAATTATGGATGGATGACATTATATTTTGATATCTTGTCAAAACTGTAACTTGTTATATTTTGATATTGTGACTATCTTTGTTTACTAGACCTTGTTGAAAACAATACGATAAAACGCTCTCTTTCTGATCACTCAAAACGTTTTGCCGAAGAACAACAAAGTTAAACACCTTTTTCATAAGTACTGCCATTATAAGATAAGATATACATCAAAATAGCAAAGGTACAAATTAAAGTATAATAATGGTGAATTTGAATATATATATTTATGGGGAAAAGATAAGCTCTGGTTTTGTAGTGAACGGAACTAAGTGCCCTATTACAAGGAAAAGAGTCATTACTCTCTCTAATGTTTCCTTATCAACCTATTCACAAGTGACACTACATATAAGCCATTACACTCTTTTTTGATCAAATCCATAGTGTCTTCAAAGTTGTGTTTCATTTTGATAAGCTTAAACACTTGTTAAAACGGTTTAGTGACGAAGTAACAACAACAAGTTAGTGAAGTTTTAATCGTTAATTAAATAAAACCTCACAACCGTATGGAACTAATCAAGAGCTATGGAGTGGCTGAACTCAAATTCTGACCAAAAGTGTTCGCCATGTTTGGTTTGGCTGAACTCAAATTTTGGTTTTGATACAAGGTTTCGCACTATAATAAGTTGTGCATTAATTTTTATTTAGTAATTTTTGAGTATTTGCATAATATGCTTCAAAAATTAAGCATATGGTGTTCTGTGAATCCGGATATGAGCATCATACTTTAAAAGCCATGCTATCCTAATCTAGTATTATGTATACATATCTTCTACACCTAACGATATGTTTGCATCACAACATCAAGGAACCAAAAGAACAAATGTTTTGAGATTTTTGAGGACTTGGGAGCATCATCGAAATCATTGACGAATTCTGTAACTCCCCAACCAAAAGTGGAGAATATCGATCGACACCATCAATTTAGAAGTTGTAGGTTTGATCAATTCTGGTTTAATCCGAATTAAGAATCTTAAAACCTGAACCGTTTTAAAAACTCGACGCCACAATCTCTGTTTCGTAATGTCTTCTTATAGAGATATATTAAAATATAGTTTAGAAGCATGCTAGGATTACTGAATATTGTTGGATAATTTTTCATTAATTAATTAAATTGATTTTTGATGGTTATGGTTTGGATTGTTGGTTTAATCTGTAATTAATCAATTGGTAACAGCTTCTCATTTGGGAAGGTTGTTAAAGGGTGAGGTCTTGGGTTCGAGGAACGCCAAGCGCACCAATAACCTACCTGGTGAGCCAGAGGGCTGCGGGCTAGATAGGATCCACGGGAGAGAGGTTATGGTCGATGCGGTGCAACGCTAGCAGTTGCCACGTGGCGGAGTGTGCCACGTGGCAAGGGGGTCCCACGGGGCGGGTTGTTACATTGTGTAACAAGATTGAGTGAGCATAGCATCTTAGATCATCATTTTCGAACTTTTAATGAGATTCCAGGGTGAGTTGTTTTGTGTTTCTGATCGTTTTGTGTTATTGTCAATCTAGTATATCTGATGCTAGTTAGTCCATTGGGCTAAGGTGTGTAAGAGACAATCCAATGGGCCTTGATAAAACAAAATCTACAAAGGCCCAAACCCAACCAAATACTCTCAGTCAAAGTCAGTAGATGAAGACAAAATCTGAAAAGCTTTCACCCTCAAAACAGAGGAACGTTGGTACGAAGAAGACGACGACGACTCTACAACCTCCTTCCGATGAGTCACCAAATACAGCTGTCGATTAAGGATACTATATTGTTCTGTAATTTGTATATAAAAGAAATTTGTAAAAACCCTAAAGAAGTTATCGAATAATAATTTTTTCACACAAATTCACCCTTTGTTCCTCTGTTCGCTCAAGGTGACGATGTGACTGCAGATTCTATATCCGTAGGTTTCATGCTAAAGTTATCGCCTTGATTGGTTGCTGCTGTATGTAGATTAGAGCTGTAGAATTTTTGGCTGTGACTGTATATTTTATTGTTGTAGTGTTTTGGCTGTAGGAATTATTTTTTTGGAAAGCTGAAAATTATGTGCTTTAGGAAAAATGGCTTTGTACAACCAAAAAAAATAATTAAGGAAATATTTTGGCTGTGAATCAAAAAAGGAAATACAAAATTTATAAAGTTTGATTGCTGTGGATTTGTTACTTTGGAAAAAATATGGCTGTGGAAAGATTCTAAAGCAGCAACCAATTAACGCCTATGTTGATTTTGGTTACTAGAAATCATGTGTTTGATTGTGTAGGAAGTTTGAATTATACTCCTGAAACTATGTGATGATTGGATGTTGAGTTTATGTGATGTTTTAGAGATTAGTTAAGATTATGGTAAGTTGTAGCATAATCTCAACTATTCTCTAGCACACATCACATAGACATAACAACTTCATTATCACATAGTCTTAAGATTATCAATCAATCTTCATAGAATCAATCACATATCATCTAGCAATCTAAATCAACACAATTTAGCATGAAACCTATGGATTTAGTAATTGGCTGATTAACATCATATATACAAGATTAACAACTCTAAGATGGAAATGATCTTAGTCTATATGGAAAGATATGACCCAGATCTTTCCATAGGTGGGTAGTTTTGCTTCTTTTATTTTCATTCCAAAGCGACATGAATCTGATCAGACTGAGCTGGTAGCTCATAGATCTGTGAAAAAGTTGTTTGAGAAAATATATAATTCTTAATTTTGATACATGATAGAAAACCCCTTTGAAAGAAACCTAGATCTATGGGTTGGAAAAGTATTCGCCAAGACTCATCCATAAAAGAGTCTGTTTGCCCCTTGTTTGTACCATCTCTCACGACTGGGTTAGACATGTCCTTGATCTTACCAACAACTCTTTCTTCTCCTTCTCTCTCATGATTTTTGTTCTCTTTCTCTAGGTCTAGGAGACACAAAAATGAGAGGAGAAACACCTAATATTCTCTTAAATAGGTTTTTTTTTTTAATTAGGTTTAGTGGTTAGAGGTAACACGCTTTAAGGGTACATTGGGTCCAAATAAATTAAAACAAATGGAGCCTGTTTTAGGAGTTTGGGCCGGGATGTTATAGTCCAGCAAAAAATTTATTACACCATGAAAATACAATCATATATTAAGGCATTTAAAATTGAATAATAACGCATATGAAACAACATGTGAAATGAGTAGAAACTTAAGAATATACACTTAATAGGTTTTTTTTTCTAAGTTTCTAAGAAAGTAAATATTGCATTAAAAATGAAAATGGTCTAGGTTGTAATCTATGATAGACGTTTACATAGACGTTTTTTTTACTTACATAGATGTTTAAGTGGATGGAAAGAAGCCTAGTTAATCTTTGGGTTGAAATCTATATATACATTTTTGAAGTACATGTTGTACTATAATCTATTACGGCTTATAACATTTTATCTATGGATCTACTTATAATAAAAAAATATAAGATTAAAATAGAATAAATACATATAAAAACTAGACTATATAAACCAATTACGAAAATGATTAATAAAATAAATATATTAATTTATGGACCCGTGGTGTACCACGCGTTCAATGCTAGTGACGTGGTATACAAACATTCTAAGAAAAGGAAACAATAGCCTAAGGATGTCCTTTTACTGGATGAGTTGGGGGAGTGCAAGGTGGCTTCTTATATGGTTCCTTCTTTTGTGGTCCTCTTCTTGACTTGCTTCTCTTCACTCTTGCTTTTATTTGGACAACAATTTTTTCATCCCTCGTATGTCCCTCTCCTATATTCCCGAATTTATAATATAGAGAAAAGAAAAACAAAATACGAAAGAGTTATGGAACTTTATAAAAAAGAGAAGAACTATGCATCTTCACATCAAATTACCTAACGTTATAAGTCGAATAATTCGTTCTAGATCTAGCAAGGTTTATGAAAACAAAGTGTTAATAAACGATTTCGACTTACCGAGCTTACGATGTTTTGGTTGTTTGTTCGATGTTGCTTCTAACTGTCCGAATAAGAGAGGAGACAAAAGGAGCAAAGCTACGATGAAAATGACCAAGAATGGTGCCTTTACTACTGTCATTGCATCTCCTATCTCCCTGTCTAAAAAGCTTGTAAGTCTTCTACCTTGTCCAGTCTTGTCTTTATAGTTAAAAAAATATCCACCAACCCAACTTGCTTTCACATTATAATTGTTGAAAAAGGAATACAACATTCGAAAATTGTCCAACTTGCTTAACACGGAACTTATCACAATACCAACCTTCGAGCTGCGGTATAATTAAAGATATACATATTTTAAGGTTTCTGAAATTCTCTGTAGCTCATTTTTTTTCCTTATTACTCTACCAGTATGAGAGTTATCATCAATCTTGTTTTGGATTTTCCTCTTTGCTTCATTTCAGGTATAGTGTTTGCACCTAGTTATGTTGTTTGTTTCTTATTGTATTATGTTATTTGAGGTACATATTATATTTGGTTATAATATAAATACAAAAAGGTACTAAAAAATGTTAATTTTCTTGGTTACTTCCTTCTTATTATATTTTGGTGTAAAAAGTAAGTTGACTTTAGATTTATATCTAAATATCTAATATATAATTATCTAATAGAAAATGATTAAGAAATTTACTCGAGGTTTTGGCAAACGTATTATGACAAAGAAAGTCAAATACATTGACAAACTGGTTTCTTCAAATGATTAAATTGGGTTTGTATAGTATTGATGATTCATCTTCTGACCTGCCTGTCCTTAAGCTGGCAAATCATATCACTACGTACAAATAAGGCCTGTTTAGTTTTCTTTGTGCATTCAAATCAAACCAAATATCTCAATCTGTCACTCAATCTATATATATAAAGTTAGCTTTTAAACCTAAATTATAATGAGATTTAACGGGAATACAACAAAAAGTAAGAAATTTTGAGTATATAAATCTATCTAATTTATGTCTCACAAACTTTTCCAACGTAAATGAGATAGGTAGGAACGAAACATGAATTATCATTTTTAAAAAACGTATAAAAAGGTAAAAAAAACCAAAAAAAATATTTAAAGTTTTCCAATATGAATTTAACTAATAGTTTCCAATACAACACATATGTTAAACTAATAAACAAAATAAAAAGTTAACTATATTTAATAAATATTAAAAATTAAAATAAATAACAATATTAAATGAAATAAACCAAATATAAAGTAAATTATACTAATATGTTAAATTTAAAAATTGATCCATATGAAAAAACGAAAAATATATAAAACATAAAATCAGAAACAAATATATAATAGTATAAAAATGATCATAACGAGATATAAATTACGTCAAATCAAAAAAAAATGTAAAACAAAAAAAAACTTATGACAATATATAAAGAGATAATGTAAACAATAAAAAATACAACAATCCACCCGAAACCCACAAATCATTTTCAAATTTCGGGCCAACATATTAAAAAGAGCCACAATATTAACATCTATATCTATATATGGTAAAAAACCTAATAGCACATGTTTATGAGTTTCTCAATGATTCTCCACCGCACTTCCGTTTACACTCACACTTCGCCTTATATTATACACACTTAATTTCTCAACAACTAATGAAGCTAAAACTCAATAGGTTTTCTATACAAACATAATCTAAGTTAAAAAGAAAGTATGGTATAGTGAAAAATTTAAGTAGAAAATAAAATACGAACCACTTACTCATAAAAAATGTGATAAACTCCCGCGCGTAGCGCGGACAACCGACTAGTATAATAATAAAGTTACCAAATTCTAATAGCTCAATTGGTAAAATTGGTAAAGATTTCTGGTAAAAGCTTAGACGTCGCCGGTTTGAATAGCATTTGGGACTAGATTATATAACATATTTTGGTCTCGGGCATGAAGGAATGTATGAACTTCGGCCCATAATCTCTTTAATTAGTAAAAAGAAAAATATAATAATAGAGTTGCGTTTAGTTTTCTTTTAAAAATCATTTTAAAAACTGTACAATATTTAACGTTCATACGATTTTTTAATAGTCATAACACCAGTCTTGTTCTCCAAGATTTTCTATGGCTAGTATTGACTTTAATGTGCAGTATGCACCGTACCATATATCAAAACATATGTTGTAATGAATGAATCTCTAAGCATAATGTGTGATTTAGATTATATGAGTCACTTAATGCCATGAAGTTAACTTAAATATTTGATACTGGATTTGATGATGATGTTTTAGTTTGACTTTGTAACGGGTGTCTCTTAGCCTCATTCTCCAAGTATAATAAGCAACTAGGAGTATTCAACGGTTAAGGCCATGTTTTACATATAATTATAACTAACATGGCACAATAATTTAATATGCACTTATTAGAAAGATAAAAATGTACGATATGAAAATATGTCGGCACGGTTCCAACTCGTGGGAAAAGGACTTTGTTAAGAGCTGCCAAGCCTTAGACCAGAGCGAGCCTTACATCTTGAAAAGAACCTGAAAGATGAATTTTGAAACCGCGGAGATAGTTTCCTATGGCCAACTCGAGCAGAAGGCGAGTCTAGCCCTAATTTTAACCAATTCCGGCAAGGTAATCCAATTTGAAAATATAAGAAAGAAAGGTTTGATACTAGCTATTATTCTTTTGCGATATTGTGCAATCAATAAAATAGTTTGCTAGATCCGCCGTTGTACCAATTTAGTTACATTTAATAGGTGTATGGTTAACCATTGTGCCAATGGGTTAGTCTCATACTCTAAGTTTAACATAAGTAAACCCAAAAAATTATCTAAAAACTACACTCCAAAAATTTATCATTTGGTGACCTTTTTATTTATAAATTTTAAGAAATTAAAAATAGGAAACGGGTATGTACGTGTGATGACAGATGAATGATATGAGGAAGGATAAACACACATTTCCTCTGAGGAAATTTTGGAGAAAATATTGAGTATTTTTGAGATTTTTGCTTCAAAGAAAGATATCCAAGAAAAAGCTTCCAATATTGTGGATATCTCAAACATTTTACGTATAGTTTTCAACAAATAATACTTTATAAATCTTTTTTATACTATGCTTATTTTTTGTTCAAAAGAAATTATTTTATTAAAAGGATACAAGAAACATAAATATGAATTGTATTCGATATAATATGTATATATGCAACCTATCCACTGAAACCCAAGTATCCAACCTTTTCTAATTTGCATTCGTTCGGACACAATATCATTACTTATTTACTCACTTTTTAATTATGTTTGAAATTCAAATATCTTGGACAAATCGAGTTGGACCACATATCAAAGGTAATTTGTTAGAAAAATTGCATAAAAATTACATGGTTGAAGACAAAACACGTTTTCGAACATTAGCCAACACCACCACCATCCACCATGCTCCATGCTTGATATTTATTTGGTCAGTACGTCTCAGTTAAAGATCTTGTACAGTTTATACTTGGCAATTTCGGAGACACGAAAGACTTTTGTCAAGTCTTCACTTTCTGTTTCTTATGCTCTCAAGTTTTGATATATATACAAATGATTAGCTAGTTGATATATAATATTGAAGCAAGAAAAATAATGGTTACAATGACATCACTCGTTGCTCTTCTTTTATTTTTCGTTTCTCTCTTTGTTCTTCTAATGGGAGGACAAGGTCAAAGACTTCGTACTCCGGTTATGTCACGAATCCATGCACCACCTTCAGAATCACGTAGAGGTCAAGGTCCCTAGCAAAAGAGTCCTTGCTATAAACCAAAGAAACAGTGGTAACTTCAAGTTTATGTCCAAATAAATAAATGTCTTGTATCAAATTATATCAAACGTTGTAAAATCTTGTGTATATATATCTACTTGATACACATCATATTTACAGCTTTATTAAGGGTTTTATTATCCTTTTTATCATGTTTCAATTGTATTTTCATTGTGTTTTGTTGCATTTAGTGTCTAAATGAGTCTTCTTGCTTTTTAAAAGTCACATAGTGTCTTTGAGTGTGTTTTAGTGTGTTTTGGGTGTCTTTTAAGCTATTTCAGGTTAAGATAATAAAGACACATGTTTGAATGCAAAGTGGAGGATTGATGATGCAGATCCAGTCCGAAGTCTCTCAAAGATCGACTCAGATGAAGGCTTGACCTTGTGATTTAGCTTTGAAGCTCTGAACAAAAGAGATAGGAAATCGAATTAGCTTTCCAACGGTGGTTGTTTGAGTTATGACTGATTGGTTCATGAGTTATGACTGATTTAGTGAGAGTATATCCATACAGAACGAAGATAGAAGCCATCGAGAATTCCAATCGACCAACAGGTCGGTTGGCAGGTCGGTTGGAGTGAAACAGACGCCAAAACAAGTTTTCAATCGACCATACAATCGACCGGTTGGATATAAAGACTTTGGGTTTGACCCGGTTCATCTCGGGTTGACCCGGATCGATTTCTTATGCATAAATGTTTCAAGCTCGAAAATTATGGATCTTATGCTATGTTTTAAGGTTTTTTCTTGGATTTTGTATTTGAATCTTGAAGTTTTAATATAAGTATTTATTCCTTATCTTAATCTACAATCTCTAATCATGATTTCACAAATATCAAACGCATTACTTTGTGCTTTCATGACCATGAGTGAGTAGTCATTTTGAATCTTTGGGTTAGGTAGATTAGGAGGATTTTGGAGTTGGGTTATGGAGTTTAGGATTAGATTGTCCAAGATCCTTGCTTATTGGTTGCTAATAAGGCTAATCAACCTTGTTAATGTTGATTTAGAGCTTAGGAATTTCACGCCCGGAAGGTGTTCGATAAAATTCCCGAACCAAAACTTTTAAGTGCTTTACACTCCTTGCCATTTGAAAATGTTGATTAGGATGTTTAGTGGCTAGACTTGTTATTAATGCTAGTTAATCATTTAATTGCCTTTGGAAGAAGTTGATGATTATTTGATTAGTAAAGTGATTATTGTCATGG